TATACATGGGGCTATTTATAAAGAAAGGGGCCTATTAAGAGCAGAAGGAAAAGGAATTAAAAACAGAGGAGAAATATTGGCTCTCCTCCAGGCTATTTGGGACCCAAAAGAGGTGGCTGTTATGCATTGCCCAGGACACCAAAAGGGAACTGATCTGATTTCAAAAGGAAACCACTTAGCAGATCAAGCCGCAAAGGAAGCAGCTCGAGAAACAGTGCAAGAACTGGTTACACTCCGGGCTCCAGCCCTACCAGAAAAACCGAACTATTCAGAAGAAGATTTAAAGTATTTGCAGAAATGGGTTAAACTGGACTATGAAGGGGACTGGGCTAAGACTAAAACAGGAAAAAATAATTCTTCCTCAAAGACTAGGTAAGAAGTTAGTAGACCAGATACATCAGGGTACTCATTTGGGGATACGCAAACTCAAAGACCTTATAGGCAAGCAATTCCAGGTTTCTAAATTAGGGTGTATGGTTCAGGATGTAGTTGATAGATGTGCTCAATGCCAGATAGTTAATGTGGGAAGAACTAAAATGGGAAGAGGGAAAAGAGAAAGAGGTAAGGAACCAGGAGTTTATTGGGAAATAGATTTTACGGAAATGAAACCCGGGAAATGTGGGTACAAGTATATGTTGGTTTTTGTGGATACCTTTTCAGGCTGGGTGGAGGCTTTTTCCACCAAACATGAGACAGCAGGAGTGGTAGCTAAAAAAGCTACTAGAAGAAATAATTCCTAGGTTTGGGCTGCCTCTTGCGATCGGGTCAGACAATGGCCCTGCATTTGTGAGTTCAGTCTCATAGGCATTGGCCAAGGCCGTGGGCACAAATTGGAAACTACATTGTGCCTATCGGCCCCAGAGTTCTGGGCAAGTAGAGAGAATGAACTGGACTCTTAAAGAGATGTTGACAAAACTAATTCTGGAGACTGGCGGTGGATGGGTAGATCTCCTTCCTTTCGCCCTCCTCAGGGCCTGATGTACACCCTATTTAAACAAGGTGACCCCATTTGAAATAATGTTTGGGAAACACCCCCCGCCCCGTCCTCGGCTACAGGAGGTTGCCCTAGCAGAAATGACTGATCAGTCTGTACTCCAGTCACTGCAGGCATTACAGATGGTCTTAAAAAAAAAAAAAAAGTCCACACAGGGATCTGAACTGCCCACACTGGGACAGAGACGGTGGGGGAACAACATCCTTACCAACCCGGGGACTTGGTTTGGATACATCGCTATCAAGTGGGGAACTTGGAGCCTCGCTGGAAGGGACCATTTACTGTTATCCTAACGACCCCCACGGCAGTAAAAGTAGAAGGCATTAGGGCCTGGGTTCATGCGGGTCACATCAAACGAGCCGAGAGTAAGGACGCCCCCCAGAGATGGAAGCTGCAGCCAACAGACCCTGCTGACCATGGACTAAAACTAAGACTAAAAAAAACTAAGTTTATTGTTGCTGTACTAAAGAAAATTGGAGCAATAAAATGTTAGTTTTACATGCTCAATATAACATAGAACTAGCTGAAAAGTCAAGGATTTGACTAATCTCCAAAGAAAAGGGGGGAATGTAAGGGCCTGCCCCTCCCAGAGGAAGTGGCTTGTGGACCCCGGATGTAGGGGCGGGGCAGGCCGGGTGGAGACGTCCAATCGGTGGGGCGCGCATATATCCACTGGGGTGAATTGGGATTCAATTGGCCGCCTGTGTAGGGGCGGGGCTCAACCACCCCCATAAAGGTTGGTCTGCAAGGCTGTCGAGGAAAGAAGGAGGAGAGCTGTCAGAGGAAGAAAAAGGAAGAAGAAGAAGGAGAAGAGTCGGCGGGAGCAGAAGAAGAGGTGTAAAAGCTCTTGTAAGAGCTATAGGGGCTGTAACAGCTCTTGTAAAAGCTATAAGCACCACCCACGGTCCCAACGCCAGCGGCCCGGGGCCACCAGCGGTCCTGACGCCTGCAGCCCCGAGCTGCCAGCAGCCCAAGTTGCCAGCGGTCCAGACACCAGCAGTCCAGATGCCAGCAGCCTTGCCACCACCCAGACACCAGCGGCCCGGACGCCAGGGGCCCTGCCCACACACCGCGACCCTCGGCAGCGGCGCCGCGGGGAATGGCCTAGACGCCAGCAACCTCGCCGCGAACCCTGAGCCGCTGCCTCGCCGGAGCTGTGTCATTCCGGGGAGCAGCTTCGTCTGGGAAGAGGCCTCCTCGGTGAGTGGCCCTGTGGGAGCAGCATGGTCAAGGAAGAGACTTCCTCCAGAGCGGCCTCGCCGGAGCAGCCTTGTCCGGGGAGCAGCCTCGACGGAGCAGCCTTGTCCGGGGAGCGGCCTCGCCGGAGCAGCCCCTGTCTGGGGAGCAGCCCTGTCCGGGGAGCAGCCCTATCCGGGGAGCGACTACATTAGCAGCAGCCTCGACTGGGGAGTGGCCTCGTCGGTGAGCGGCCTCGTCTGGAGCAGTGGCCTCCTCTGGGGAGCAGCCTTGTCAGAGTGGCATCATGGGGAGCAGAGTCTGTGTCATCGGTGTTGTTTTCCTTGTCATCGTCGCTGTCGTCATCGCTTCTTCGTCATTGGGAGCGGCCTTGTCTTGGGAGCGGCTTCCTCCAGAGTGGCCTCTTCTTGGGAGCAGCCCTGTCCAGGGAGCGACCTCACCAGCAGTGGCCTTCTTGGGAGTGGCCTCTTCTTGGGAGCGGCTCCAACCGGGGAGCAGCCTCATCTGCTGAGCAGCCTCATCCGGACCGGCCTTCTTGGGAATGACCTTGTCGGAATCATCTTCATCTTTTCGTAAGAGACAGCTCTGACCGGTCAGTTTGATTTTTGATCTTGGCGTGAAATAAAGCTTTGTTTGATTTTTGCTTTATATCAGTCTCGTTCCTTTGATCACGGACCCTAACACTCACCAGTATTGAACTGTACATGAGGTAACATAAGGAAATTGTAAGGGCCTACTTAGCCAGAGGGAGCCATTTTGTGTTTATGCAGTGAACTTAGATTGACCCTGCCCCTCCCAGAGGAACTTACCTGCAAAGCCCAGATACAAGGGTGGGTCAGGCCAGGTGGAGACATCCAATCAGGGGGGCGAGCATATATCTACTAGGGTAAATTGAAATTCAATTGGCCACCCGTGTGTGACCTGGCATGACTGTGCAGTTTTCTCTGTGTGTTGCTGACCTAGCATGACTGTGCAGTTTTCTCTGTCTATTGCAATCTCATTGGCCACCTCTGTATAGCCAGGCTCAACCACTTCTATAAAAGTTAGTCTGTGAGGCTGGGAGGGGTCGCCTCTTTGTAAGAGACGGCCCTGACCAGTTGGTTTGATTCTCGATGCTTGGCGCAAAATAAAGCTTTGCTTGACCTTCGCTTTGTATCAGTCTTGCTCCTTTGATTACGGACCCTAACAGAAATAAATTGTTAAACTGTCATAGAAGATCAAATATAAGTATTTTCAAGGTTCATGGAAATAGAAAAAATAGAAGGTAAATGTTCCTATTTATTCTCTTTTCTATGCCTTTGATCCCATTATCTATCTCATAGAGTAATATGGCTTAAATAAGAAAGTTAAACAGTTTAAATAAAATAGCACAGTGCCCACAGATGAAAAGTGTGCAAACGTGCTAGCTTATTGCTGATCAATGTTAACTTACATACAGGTTTGCTATAAAATTGCCCTTCTAAAATTGTGAGCTATGACAGGATCTGGAAATCCTCTGAATTGTATGTGATGTTTAAAAAATATAAAGTATCAATCCTATAAGTAATATAATCGCTCCTTTGCATAATTTCATTAAATTATTGAAGACTTTTGTAATGGATCCTTCTGAAATATCAACTCAGCCTCTCTCCTCTGTCACGTCCTCTGGCAGCTTCTAGTGCATCATCTTACCCTTCTCCCTAGCCGCTGCCAGGGAGTGAACCAAGCAACCTTGGGGCATGAAGAGATGACTCCCTCCTAGCTCACAGACTGCCAGTGCTAATGGCCCAAGAACTATCCTGGTTTCTTCCTTTCCTAGGCCTTGTCTGATAAACCTCTGCTGGAAGTACGCACAATTCTCTTTCTTGCTTTAGCAGGATTACGTTAAAAGCAAAGTAACTGACTCATATTTTCAAATAGAACTTTGTTAAAAATTTGCTACCTTTGGTATACTCTATACAGCAAGTCAGTGATGCTATTGTTCTTCCCACCAATAAAATATGATGATGACAGTTTCAGTCTTCCAGTATTGTTCTTTTCTTTCCCCGCCAAAGATTCTATTTATTTGACAGAGAGAGATCACAAGTGGACAGAGAGGCAAGCAGAGAGAGAGAGAGGAGGAAGCAGGCTCCCTGCGGAGCAGAGAGCCCAATGCGGGACTCGATGCCAGGACCCTGAGATCATAACCTAAGCTGAAGGCATAGGCTTAACCCACTGAGCCACCCAGGCGCCCCCTCCCAGTATTGTTCTAATAATAATCAGTACCACTATATAAAAGTGCATATTTAGGATCTCATGATTTGTGCTTGGAGAATTTTGCTTTTGACTATCATGTTAAACATATCATCACACTTCTAAAATTTACATTTTACACAAGTGTACAATTTCACTACAGTTTATGAACCAACGAAAAATATAACCATTCTCATGCCTTAACAACAACAACAACAAAAAGTTAAGAACTCCAAGTATAGGAATGGCATAGCAAGAGGCATTGTTCCATTTTATTTACAATAGTAAGATATTGGAAAAAACAGGAAAGTGGTTTAAAAAAATAAATCACAAAACCATAATTTAAGCCATAAAACAAAATTATGAGCAACCATTAAAAATATGTTGCAAATGTATTTAATGACATGAAAAGATCTAACCATATAGTCATCATCTACCTATTATTCCAGTGTCTTCTTGGAGAAACTTAACAGTTTTCTCTCTTCGATCTCCTATATCTCTTCATCCATCCTCACTCAGCTTAACCTTTCTTCCGATTTTATTGACAAAACTCAATCAGAAAAGACTTCTGCAATTTAGTACCACAACGTTGACCTACCAGCCAGCATCTCTGCCATATATGCTCCCCTCTTGTTCCACCGGCTGGAGTATCTTGGTGAAGACTAATTCCCTCACTCATAACTAGATTCTGTCCCCTCCACACCATCCATTAAAGAAGATGCACAACATCATACCGACACAAGAGGGCGCTTTAAATGAGGACTCTTGTAAACCACTCCAAATCAACAGTCTTGAACGGGCGTAGGCATAAGTATTCTTCATCTATACAAAACTACAGAAAAAAACAACAACAAAACACATCAGCCAGTGAAAATTACCAACTTATCCACCCCTACTCCCTTCCCCACAAAAAGCCACGCAGCAGCAGTAAATTGTAACACAAAAATCCAAACTGAATTAAATATCCTGAATTAAAATTCAAAAACTAAGACAAAAATTGAACAAAAAAAATGCAAGTAATGAAACAAGAGATGACTGACCTCAGAAATGATACAAAAAAGAGATCATATCAAAAATGTAAAGTATATTACAAGACAGGAGAAATTTTAATGGAAACTTAATAAGATTTATTGGATAAAAGTGGGAAAAGAACAAAAGGATAAAAAGGAGATAAAAAAAGCAAAATATATAAAAGAGCAAAACAAGAAAATGCATCATAGTGGGAAAACACACAAATGTAACATAATTTACACAGCAACTATACTATAAAATGATAGAAACGAACCCAAAAGTTCAGTCATTTCAATAAATGTGAATTATTCAATAAATAATTCACTTATCAAAAGAAGTAAAGGATTTTACGTTTGGCTCACAGAACAAAACCCAACCATATTATATACTCCACATGAGAAAAGCTAAAACTTATTCAGAAAAGCTAAAAAATAAAGTGGTGAGCAAACACATACTAAAAGCAAACGCAACCAAATTTCCAGTTACAATATAAATCTGAAAGCACAAGAAGGAAATTTTTTTTAAAGGTGGTATTCTATTATTATTATTTTTAAAAGATTTTATTTATTTATTTGACAGAGATCACAGGTAGGCAGAGAGGAAGGCAGAGAGAGAGGAGAAAGCAGGCTCCTCACCGAGCAGAGAGCCCGATGCAGGGCTCGATCCCAGGACCCTGGGATCATGACCTGAACCGAAGGCAGAGGCTTTAACCCACTGAGCCACCCAGGCGCCCCAAGAAGGAAATTTTTGTACTGTTATTAAAGCACAATAATCTATATTGTAGGTTGGATGGATGTTTAACCCATGCATAATTTTGAAACACCATGCATTATTTATTTGGAAATATTAGCTTACTAATTTATGCATACCTTTCAAATGTTTCATTATACATTATTTAAAACACCACATTTTAAAATATCATAGTCTTTAATATTACCAACCAATCTGGCAAAAAGTACAGGAAAGCTACCAAGCTCAGAGAGACAGATCAAATGTTCCAAATTATAATTTTTGCTCAAAAGCCAGAATTTTATCATTGATAACGAATATTTTCAGTTACTTTCCTTGAAGTAATGGGGTAATTTCATTCATTTGTGAAAAAGTACCTGCTGAACAACTACGTCTGAAAAAAAAAAAGTCTGCCCCTTAGTTGTTCTTTTGAGTATTCATGAAAAAATACAGCTAATTCAGCTTGCAATTAAGACAAAAGCACACAAATGTTTTTCCTTGAGAATACCACTGAGTAGGTAGAAATACTTTATACATCTTTCCATTTCACTATACATAATATTGACAAGACATACCAAGAATTGAGGTTTAACATTAATAATTTTTACTGTTTCATCAAGGACATTCTTAAATGAAACTAGCACCACATATAGATGTTTTCAGAGGGAAATTCTATTCAACTTTCAGAAACTAGACAGTCCCACTGGACATAAACACTTCTAGTAGAAATGCCTCCATTATTTCCCCATTAAGTATGATGCTTACTTTCTTATCAAGATATAATATATTTTATCATGTTAAGAAAACATTTATCTATGTATCTATAATCTACATGTATAATCTATGATCTATAAGTAGGAAACCTTAAAGCTTCCACAAAAATACTTTTTGTTAGAACTAATAAACGAGAGGCGCCTGGGTAGCTCAGTGGGTAAAAGCCTCTGCCTTTGGCTCAGGTCAGGATCCCAGGGTCCTGGGATCGAGTCCCACATCAGGCTCTCTGCTCAGCAGGGAGCCTGCTTCCTCCTCTCTCTCTGTCCACTTGTGATCTCTGTCTGTCAAATAAATAAATAAAATCTTTAAAAAAAAAAAAAGAATAAACGAATTCAACAAACCAGTAGGATATAAAGTCAACACATAAGAATGAGTTCCATTTCTATACACAAATTACACACAATCTGAAAAGGAAGTCAAGAAGACAATTCCATTCACTATACCTCAAAGAGAATAAAATTCTTAGGGGGAAATTTAACCATGATGGTGAAAGGCTTGTACAATGAAAACTACAAAACATTTCTCAAAGAAGATAAAAACATAAATAAATGCAAAGGCACCCCATGTTCATGAATCGGAAAGACTTAATATAGTTGTCAATAGTGCCCAAAGTGATCTATGGCATCAGTGCATTCACTATCAAAATCATAACACTTCTGGCAGAAACAAAAATCCACCCTAAAATCATATGGAATCTCAATAGGCCTCAAGGAGCCAAAAATAATCTTGAAAAAGAACAAAGTTGAGGTTCACACTTCTAAATTTCAAAACTGACTATAAATCTACAATAATCAAATAATATGGTATTGGCATAAAGACAAACATATATAAAACCAATGGAATAGAATACAGAGCTCAGAAATAAACCTTCCCACACACGGTCAAATAATTTTTGACAAGGGTGCCAAAGTCATTCAATGGGGAAATGACAGTCTTTTCAACAAATGGGACCGGCAAAACTGGATATCTAAGTGCAAAAGAATGAAGTTGTAACCCTTCCCAAACTCAAAATGAATTAAAGACTTAAAAATTAAAGACTTAAAAAGTTTTCTCTCTTCGATCTCCTGTATCTCTTCATCCATTAACTCAAAATGAATTAAAGACTTAAACTAAGAGCTAGAACCATAAAACTCTTAGGAAAAAGAGACAGGATAAAAGTTTGACAACATTGGATTCAGCAGTGATTTCCTGAATATGAGACCAAAGGCAGAAACAGCACACGAAAAAAAAAAAAAAGACAAACTGGATTTCATGAAAATTTTAAAATCTTGTACATCAAAAAACACTATCAACAGAGTGAAAAGGCAACCTACGAAATGGGAGTAAATATTTGCAAGTCATATTATCATAAGTGATTAAAATCCAGAATATTTAGAGAACTCTCTAAAACAAAAACCCTGTTCAAAATTGTGCAAAGGACTTGAACAGTCTTTGAATTTCTCCAAAGATGATATAAAATGGCCAATAAGCACATGAAAAGATGCTCAACATCATTAATCATTAGGAAAATGCAAATTGTAACTACAATGAGATGCCTACCACCTCATACCCATACCCATACTATCAAATAAAAAAAGAAAAAGAAAGTAACAAGTGTTGGTGAGAACGTGGGGAAATTGGAATCCTGTGCACTTGTGGTGGGAATGTAAATGGTACAGCTACTACAGAAACAGTATAGTGGTTCCTCAAAAAAATTAAGAACAGAATTATCACATGGCCCAACAACTCTACTTCCACACATACACCCAAAATTGAGAGTTTCAAAAAGATATTTGTACATCATGTTCATAACAGCATTATTCACAACAGTTAAAACATGGAAGCACTCCAAGTAACCATCAACAGATGAATGGTTAAGCAAAATGTGGAGATACATTTTAAATATGGAATATTACTCAGTATGGAATATGAGTAATAGGAATAATATATTACTGAGTAATGGAGTATTACTCAGCCTGAAAAAGGATGGACATCCTGACACATGCTGCATTAATGAACCTTGAAGATACTATGTTAAGTGAAATAAGCCAGTCACAAAAAGACAAATACTCTAGGATCCCACTTACATGAGGTATCTGGCGTCATCAAAATCAGAGACATAAAGAAGAATGGTGGTTGCCAAGGGCTTGGGGGAGGGAGGGAATGGGTAGTTACTGTTAAATGGGTTCAGAATTTCATTTGCAAGATGAAAAGGTTCTGAAGACTGGATGCAAAACAGTGTGAATATACTTAACATAACTGAGGTGTACACTTAAAATGAGTGCATTATATATAATGTATACTTCAACACAGCTGTTCTTAAATGTTGTACTATAAGGCCTAGTCAACAAGACAAGAAAAATAAAAATAAATAAGAACCGCAGAAGGAATAAAAATCATTATATGCAGATGTATGTCTACAAAAAAATCCAGAAAACCTTACTCAAATTATCAACTTTAAAAGAGAAATTAGCAAAGTTTTTGATTCAAATCAGAAAAATCAAGTTTAAAAATATGAATGAGATGGGACGCCTGGATTGCTCAGTCGGTTAGGCCACTGCCTTCAGCTCAGGTCATGATCCCAGGGTCCTGGGATCAAGTCCCGTATCAGGCTGCTTGCTTGGCAGGGAGCCTGCTTTTCTCTCCACCTCTACCTGCCACTCTGCCTGCTTGTGCACACACTCTCTCTCTCTGACAAATAAATAAATAAGTATTTTTAAAAATATGAATGAGAGTAACATCCAAAATTATAAAGTACTTAAAAAAATGATAATGACAATGATAACTTTATTAAAAAAACACTTAAAAAGACTATAGACAACATATTCATGGACTGAAGAACTCACTCCAAAAAGCTGTCAACTGTTTCCAAACTAATGCACACAGCTAAACAAATTCCAATTAAAAGAACCCCAAACAGTTCTTGTTTTGCTTTGCTGGCGAGGAGGGGTTTGTCAAACTGACTCTAAAATCTACATAGGAGCAAACGAAACACAAAGCAAGCAGAAGGAAGGAAATAAGAAAAATTGAGTGGAAATCAATTAAAAAAAATAGAGAATTATCAATAGACCAAGTTGGTTCTTTGAAAAATCAACAAAACATTTAATTACACTAACCAAGAAAAAAAAAAAAGAGTGGACTCAAAAGTACCAAAATGAGGTACAAAAGAGGGGATATCACTATCATACAGAACTCAAAACTGTTGGCACAGAAATCTCTTCTTGATACAAACTTCTTGATACAGAAATCAAAAGAGTTATAAAACAGTACTATTGGACAAACTTATGCCAACAAAGTAGACAACTTAGATGAAATGGCAAAATTAATAGGAAAATACAA